GTTCAAGGCCAGGTTGGATGGAGCTCTGAGCACCCTGGGCTGGTGGAAGATGTCCCTGCTCATGGCAGGGGGGTTGGAACCAGATGATCTTTAAGGTCCCTTCCAACCCAAACCATTCTGTGATTCTATGATCTTTCTACCCGTTGCATCCCTTGGCTTATGGAGCACCGTATCAGAGAGACTGGAAGGACTTAATCTGTGTAAGAAAACCCAGAGCCTTGAGCCGCCTGAGATGCAAGCACACAAAATCCTGTGCCCACCCAGGTCTCCCGCTCGCCTTCCTCTGCCCCAGTGACGTCAGGGGAGGCTGACCCTCGCGCCCCATCGCCAGCTGCCTTCGACAAAACGGCGCTTCCCAAACAAATCCGCTGTCTGCAACAAACCAGCGAGAAAGTGTCAACGGAGCTGGGTCTTCACGTCACTTCCAAAACCACCCACGACCGAAAACAGGACATTCTCGCTTCTCAGGCATCCAATCTATCACCCAGACAATCAATTGAACTTTGGGGCAATTTACCTGCCACAAATCATGTGGAAACTTGAAAACTATCCACTTCCACCCTCAAAACCGCCAGCGACGAGAACAGGCCGGCACAGCAATGCTTGTGACATGCTCCTGACCATGAGACTACCGAGCAGCATCCTCCACAGCCCTGCGCCACCTCACTACAACCGGCCTCTCACGGACTTTCCCCCCCAAGAGCCTGGTCTGCAGCTGGCAGCTCCCAAAGTCCAGCTTCGGTCCGCATGCGTGGGTCACCAACACCAAGGAAAATGCCCCATTTCCAGATTTCCAGTGCTACCAGCCAGCCTGGTTCCTAGCGCAGATCCCAGAGCACCGCCCCGACGAAGTGGCGAAGGAGCCAAACGCCTGGCACGTCCCGTTCTCACCCAGACTGACTGAACCGGACCCGCGGACGCGCCCTACAGAGCCCATAAAAGCCAAGCAGGGTTCGCTCCTTCCGTCCGTAACACAGAGCTGCGACGGCCGCGGGCAGATCCCAGCCCACTGCACACACATTATGGATCCGCCTGCATCTCCTCCCTCGGCGACAAAGCGCTCCTCAAGTCTCCCAAGCGCACACCTAGCTGCACGGGATGTCTGTGACGGCTCCTGAGCCAAAAGCCAGTTGCAATTCGGCCGAGCTGTGAAACCCAGGCTAACTGCACCTCTGGGAAGCTCGTTAGCGACAGCTGACTTAACCAGGGGCAGCGTCAGGCCACGCTCTGCAGTGGCACCCAGGCTGGAAGCGGACAGTGTGGAGGTACACCAGCCCGCTACCTGCCTGCTGCTGCCTGCAGCCATTTGCAGAGCCAAATCTGGCGGCGACACGAGGAAAACCCCGCTGAGCCCCTTCTGCCGCTCAGCCTCTCTCCAGCTGCAGCTCCGCTCGGGCGTCTGTTCCCGCTCGCTCAGCCCTGGCCTCTGCGGTCCCCGCACCAAACCCTGCTCCTGTACCGAGGTCTTCCCGACCTTGAGCGCAGCTCTGGCTGCTGCCCTGCTGCTGTAGCAGCAGATCCACTGCCCACCCATCCTCCCCAGTCCCTGCTCGCAGCCTGCCTTGGCCAAAGCACCCGGTTCCCAGCCCTGCCAGTGGGTCCAGCGGGACAGGATGCAGAGTCAGGAGCAGCCGAGGCTTCTACTCATGGAAAAGCGCTGCTAGGGAATGTCCTCACCCTGAGCAAAGCAGGGCAGCAGCTCTCCAAAAGCAGAACCGTGTCACTCTCAACCGAGACACAGCATACTGCCAATACAGGAGGGCATGTCAGAGCAGAGGAAAGCGCCGGAGAGGAAGACTCCGCTGCTGGAGCTCAGGCTCCGGAAATGAGGAGATGTAGGGGTGAAATCAGAGCCACACGCTGGGCTTCCTCAAACAAACAGAGCTGCAAAGTCAGCCTTGCAACCCAACCTTCTGCTCTTTGCTCTGATGGGAACCTCTTCCACCTCGCGTGGACCTGTTCCTTCCTCAGACGTTACCCTGATCCAGGTATCACTTGCGTAGGGAAGAAGAAACAGGAACGAGTTGTGGGAAAGCATACAAAAGCAAGTGAGGTAAACCAGCACTAACAGCACGTAAGGAGAAGACAAGAGGTGGCCACAAACCGGTCCACCTCACAAGCAGCTGCAGCCAAGGGACTGGCTCTGGTACCCTGACACAGGAGCTGAGTCTGCGCACGGGGACGACAGGCACGATCGCTTACTGACCCAAATCGTCCCCAGGGCTGAAACGTAGGTGCCTGCTGGAAAAAATGCCTGTTCCTCCAGGCAGACACGAGGACATACCACTCCTCCGGTTTGGGGTAAACGGTGTGCCGTAGGGCGTTGTCTGGGTCGTACTCGAAGGCTACGCCTGCCGTGGGGTTCCACTTGGCGTGCTCCTTGCCGAAGCCCTTCTTGGCATAGGCTCGCAGTCTCAGCTCCTGGCCCTTCCGCAGCTTCACAATGAGGATGTCTGCGGAAAAGCACAAGCCCGTTCGAGAAGACTGCCGAGGAGAAACGAGCGTGCAGGACCACACTAAGGCAAAGGCAGGGATTTTATTGCCCAGGAAGATGTCACCAGAAGCCGGGGCTTGCTTGGATTCCTAAAGGGGCTCTTCGGGGTCCCCGGAGTAGCTGGGAAACGTCTTGCTAAGTCAAAAGGAGTTGTGCAAATGCTCAGAGGCACAGCTCAGGCCCCCAGCAACAGCAGACAGCACAGCATTTTGCATCTTTGCTGTCTCTGAGCTCTCACAAGGAGACAGAGGAGCACCCTCTGACCCAGGACTTTAGTTCTGGGGATAACCGTGAAGCGGCATTAAGACAAAACGATAACCCCACTGACACAGCGAAGCCGGTGTCTCTCCACTGCCAGCTTTACAGCTGCCTTACGGTTACACAGCTAGTAAAGGAAGAACGAGTTCAAAGATCCTGGAAGAAACATTCATTTCCCCCCCCAGCTCTTTTTCCCAGTGAAGTGCCACTTACCATCCTGCTCCACGTAGTCATTGGGGTCATTGTCTCTGCTCCGAGATGTCACCTGCAGAAGAACAACAAAAGCGAGTGAATTAATGGCAAGATCAACTTTTCTCCTCCCATCAAACTGCAGTTGCCTACAAAAATTAAGAGACTGCAGAGAGCTGTCCTAGAGTGACTTGCAGCAACAAATCCAGCCCACCCCATCTAACACAAACCGGGACAACGCAGGTAGATGCAGCTAGGTACGCGACATGCCACTCCACCAGCCCGCTCACCTCCCAGCCCGTTCTCCCACACGATGGAGAGCACTGCAGCCCAGCCCAGTGCCGCTGAGTGGCTGTGACACAGCCCAATGCCGCTCCGACGACTGCTGACAGGTGACAATGCAGCACTCGCAGCACCTCAGCCCAAGCAGAGCAAGATACAGCGGGCTACAGCGTGGCTTTGGCCACAGACGCTGTCACCAGCCACCAGCAGCAGCCCCCAGGTTGTGGTGACATCTGGATGCAGCCCCGATAGCGTTTTCAAACATTCTCCATTAAGTCCCTTTGCATCTGTCCTGCTTTGGCTCTGCCAACCCTCCCCACAGCGACTGGGCAAGAGCCGTTTGGCAGCAGTGCCCTGGCCCAGGCTCCTCACACGCTGCCACACTGAGAGCCAAGAACCAGAAAGCCAAAGGCCTCTAGGTTGCTGCCGAGCCTTCGAAGTGGCTGACCTTGCCCGAGCTGCGGCAGCACGTGGGCAGGAGAAGGGAGGGACACAGCACCGGACAGAAGCGCATGCGCTCTGTGTGTTCAAGGCGACAGGGAGGGGCAGCATGAAAGCCCCCCACGAGTCTGAGACGAGGGGTGCAGGATGAGGCTTCAGTGCGGTCGTACTGCTTTGACACGCCAGCAGACAGCAAGCGAAAGACAACCAGGCAAAGAGGAGGAGGGCCCCGGCACACGCTGCTGCTTCTGCAAATATTCCGCCTTTGCTCTCTCACTGGGTTTTCAGTGAGGCTTTATGTGGCGTAAAACATACTCAAAGGCTTTGTTTTGTCCACATCCCGTGCACTTGCCACCCCCGCCTCAGCGGGAAGGCAGAGAGGAGACTCACTGACAAGCGGAGGGATCACACTGACCGGTATGACCCGGGGGTTGTTGGAGATGAGATCGCGGGATGTGACGTGACGAGTCTGATCTTCATTGCACCGGACGTCAAGGGTGAACTCCACAGAGCACTCAGGACAGAACTCATCACACGTGCAGTCCTGGGACAGACCGGGTCAAGACCTTTACGCCAGACCTCTCCCAGCGAGAAATCAGCACCGCTTCCCACCCGATCAGACACCCACCACCATCAAGCTAAGCACCCACGACATTTCGCTTGACTCACTCTGGAATATTGCATCTTATCCACGATGTCATCACTGGTGAGCGGGATGAGACCTGCGGGAAGAGGGAAATCGGGGGAAATGTCGGAGTAAGCACCGACCCTCCTGCCGAGATGGGCGGAGGGACAGCAGCCGCCTGGCAAAGTCGCTCCAGCATCTCCAGACTGATCTTGCCCACGACCTCTGCCTTGCCGTGGACCTTCCCCCTCCTCCCCGCGCCCAGCACTCACCCAGCCTGTGCGCAATGAATTCGTCGTGGAGCACGGAGGAGTTGGCGTCTATCTGGACCCAGTCGATGGCTGCGGGGAAGGAGAAGTCACAAACTGAGAAACATCTCTGCGGGGAGAAGCTGAGCAGGTCGCGAGGGCACGGAAAACGTTACGGGGACGACAGCAAAGCATCTGGTAACAAGCAGTGCTAGATAAAGGTAAGGCAGGCTGCAGGCAGCGGGGAGACAGAAGGGACAGGCGGAGGGGGGTAACAGGCGGTACCTATGATGGGGACCTCGGCGATGAACACTCTCCGGATGGAATTTGCCACCCTGAGGGGAACAAAGGCCGCGG